AAAATTCATCACCCATTTCTGATAAAAATGCTCAGCAATGTGAGAATAGAGAGATCATATCTCAACATAATAAAGGTCATATATGAAAAACCTACAGCCAACATCATACTCAGTGGGCAAAAACTAAAAGCATTTCCCTTAAGAACAGAAACAAGACAAGGATGTGCACTTTCTCCACTCTTATTTAACATAGAACTGGAAGTCTTACCCACTGCAATTAGACAAGAAGTAAAAATAAAAGGAGGATCCAAATTGAAAAGGAGGAAGTGAAACTGTCATTGTTTGCAGATGACATGATATTGTACACAGAAAACTCTAAAGGCTCCATCAAAAATCTACTAGAGCTAATAAATGAATTTGGCAAAATAGCAGGATACAAAATTAACACCAAGAAATCAACGGCATTCTTGTACACCAATAATGAACTCAGAGAAAGAGAAACTAAAAAAAAAAATCCCATTTACCATTGCAGCAAAAAAACTAAGATACCTAGGAGTAAACTTAACCAAAGAAGTAAAGGACCTGTTCTCAGAAAACTACAGGTTATTGAAAAAAGAAATAGAGGAAGATATGAAAAAGTAGAAGCATATACCTTGTTCATGGATTGGAAGAATTAACATAATTAAAATGTCCATACTACCCAAAGCAATCTATAGATTCAATACAATCACCATTAAAATATCAACAACATATTTCATGGGACTAGAACAAATACTCCAAAAGTTTATATGGAACCAAAAAAGACCCCAAATAGCCACAGCAATCTTGAACAAGAACAAAGGAGAGGGATCACAATACCAGATATCAGGTTATACTACAAAGTGATAATAATTAAAACAACCTAATACTGGCACAAGAACAGGCATTTAGATCAATGGAACAGAACAGAGAACCCAGAAATTGACACAAGACACTATGCTCAATTAATATTTGACAGAAGTGGCAAGAACATACAGTGGAATAAAGACAGCCTCTTTAATAAATGGAGTTGGGAAAATTGGACGCTAGATGCAAAAAAATGACACTAGACCACCAACTTACACCGTACACAAGAATAAACTCAAAATGGATAAAAGTCTTAAGTGTGACTCATGAATCCATAAAAATCCTAGAAGAAAATGTAGGCAACAAAATTTCAGACATCACAGGAAGCAGAATTTTCACTGATACAATGCCTAAGGCAACAGAACAAAGGAAAAAATGAACACATGGGACTACATCAAACTAAAAAGCTTCTGCACAGCAAAAGAACAATCATCAAAATGGAAAGGGAACCCACTATATGGGAGAGCATAATTGCCAATGATACATCAGATAAGGGGTTGATTTCCAAAATATGTAGAGTACTCATACAACTCAACAAAAGGAAGACAAATAATCCAATTAAAAAATGAGCAGAGATGCGTCAGCCCACGGACCAGAGAGACCCAAGTTTGGTTCCCACTAAGGGCACGTACCTTGATTGCAGTTTTTCCCTGGCCCTGGTTAGGGTCATGTGGGTGGCAACCAGTCAATGTGTCTCTCTCACATCGATGTTTCTCTCTCTTTCTCCCCCTCTCCCTCCTGCTCTATCTGAAGATAAATGAAAAAAAAAAAAAAAGTTTTTGGGTGAGGATAAAAAAACTTAAAAAATAGGCAGAGTACCTAAATAGACACCTCTCCAAACAGGACATACGAATAGCCAAGAGACATATGAAGAAATGCTCAGCATCACTAATAATCAGAGAGATGGAAATTAAAACGATTATGAAGTATTACCTTATACCTGCCAGAATGGCTGCCATCAACAAATCATCAAGCAACAAGTGCTGATGACGGTGTGGAGAAAAGGGGACTCTACTACACTGCTGGTGGGAATGCAGACTGGTGCAGCCAATATGGAAAATAATACAGTGCTTCCTCAAAAAATTAAAAATGGAACTGCTATTTGACCCAGTGATCCCACTTTTAGGAATATATCCTAAGAAGCCTGAAACACCCTATGTTCAAACAGCACTATTTATAATCACTAAGATCTGAAAACAGCTCAAGTGTCCATCAATAGATGAGTGGATAAAAAAGCTGTGGTACATATACTCAATGGAATACTCTGGTGCTATAAGAAGGAAAGATCTCTTATTCTTTGAGACAACACAGAGGGTCCTGGAGAGTATAATGCTAAGGGGAATGAGCCAATCAGAAAAAGACAAATATCACATGATCTCACTTATTTGTGGAGTGTAATGAACAATACAGGCTGATGAACAAGATAGACCCAGAGACATGGAGGTGGGGTACAAACTGACAGACCTCAGAGGAGGGGATTGGGAGGGAGGAAAGAGATGAACGACAGACCTTATATGCATGTGTGAGTAATCAATGGACATAGACAACAATTTGGGGTGAGGGTGGATAGGGAGGAGGGTGTCAGTGGGGGGAAAAAGAGAAACGTGTAGCAAAAATAAATAAATGAAAATGTATTTCCCTGAGGTCTTGAGATCACACTTGGGGTTTTAGAAATGATGATAATTCTGGTAGACTTCATCATCTTGATGTAATTCTTTTGGGACTGATAGAAAGGAGACATTGGCTATTTGCCTTTATCCTTCAGCTCATCAAGATATGGAGGTTGACAATAGAGTTTTACACCTATGATTTATCTTGTGGCGCAGACTTTCAAGCAAGAATGGAAAGTGTTGACAATATCCCAAAGAGAAACAATAATAGGGTGTCAGAAATCCAGACAAGTGCTGGCACTTATGCTCCTATGGGTTGGGGGGGGTGGGGAAGCTATCATTAAAGAAGTTTTATTGTCTGAGGAAAATAAACATTGAATGAATGAATGCTAGGAGCAATCTAATATTAGTGCTGTAGAATTTTCAAGCATCATGGGGAAAAGTTTAATATATTTTTTGATAGAAAAGAAAGATGGGAGTTGAGCCTTCTTGGAAAGATCAGGGTGACTTTCTGTTTTTCCCCTTCATAATCTACAGTTACTATCTCATTTTATCCTCACTTCAACTCTATGAGAATTAAGTATCATTATCCTCACTTGACAGATGATATACTGACACTTAGAGCTCTTGAGTAATTTATCCACAGGTACACAATGATAGTTGTAGGATTTGAACAGAAGATGATGGGCCAAAGGTTGTGCCCTTAATTCTATCATGAATGTACACTAGTGGTTTTTTAGTGCATGCAAATCATGGATTCGTCACGCAGCATTAGCATCACCTGGGAACTCATTGGAAATGCAAGTCCTCAGCCTACCAAATCAGAAATTCTGGGGGTGGGACCCAGCAATCTGCACTTTGAGAAGTCCTCCTGGTGATTCTGGTGTACACTGCAGAGTGAGGAGCACTATTGTATTTGTCTCTGACTGAGATGTTAGAAGGGAAACTGTTAAAGGATGTTTTTAGGGATTGTGTAAGAAATGTCAAGATGGTGGTGGAGAATAGAAGGATAAAGGGATATCATGAAAGGTCTAACAGTGAAAATTACATACTTGTTGTATGAGAGAGAGAGGAGTCAGTATTGCTGATAGGAAGCAATTGTGTATGGAGGGGATTAGTTGTTTGGGTTTCATGTTCTCAAATGAAATGACTACAATTGGAAGAGTATTGTATCTGTTTCAGGGTAAGTGAAGAAGTCAGGTACATAGGGGCAATCAAATACTTCAGGATTAAAGTTGAATGATTTCACAGTCATTGTAGAAGTTGGCATTTAGCTGGGATCAAAAAGGGATTCTCTTCTTTTTTTCTGTGAATAAAAAAAAACACTAAATAGTCTATATATTGATGTGATGGTTGTTACATGGGTTTGTACATTTATCAGAACTCACATTATACCCTTAAAATGGGTGCATATATGTAAGTTCTGTGTAAATGAAATTGATTTAAAAATGGGAATGTGTTGTGGTGGCATGTAATGAGTTCCTGTCACGGGACGTATATGAGCAGAGGTTCAGTAACCACCTGTAAGACATGTTGTAGTGGAGCGTCACACCTGTGAAGAGAAACTCACTCAGTGACCTAAACATTCCTCTCCCCAGAGCTTCCATGAGTCTCAATTTCTGTTGTGTCAGTGCAGGTGTTGTTACTTTATATAGAATGATTTATTAATATATTTGATCAGAAACATTTTAACTTGTCATGATTTTTTTTTTTTTTTTATCCTCACCCGAGGACATTTTTCCATTTTTTGTTCAGATAGAGCAGGAGGGAGAGAGAGGAAGAGAGAGAGAGAGAAATATCGATGTGAAGGGACACATCGAGTGGCTGCCACCCGCAAGACCAACCAGGGCCAGGGACAAACTGCAACCGAGGTACGTGCCCTTAGCGGGAATTGAACCCAGGTCTCTCTGTACCGCAGGCTGACGCTCTAACCGCTGAGCCAAACCGGCCAGGGCTTGTCATGATTTTTTAATGTATTGTACAGGTGTGAAACACAGGACAGTAAATTCATTCTCTGCTCCTTCTTGCATATCGGAAGTAGAACAATCGATTTCATGGCAGATCAAACCATGTCATATTCTTATTTCTAAAACATAATAATTTGTATTTATTGGATCAAGAGTGTTTTATTCCTAAGTCAAATTTGCCTGTTTTAAACGGATTCTTCAAAGAGATAAATTAGGGAGGTTTTTTTGTTTGATTTTGTTTTTGTTTTTTTCCCCCATCAAACCCAACATTACATGCAAATACTTATTTGGATTTCTTTTCTCCTGGAAAATAGATTCATTTGAAGAATATTTGTATGTTTGAATGAATTTTAGTGTGAAATGCTTTTTCCTATAAAGGTGTCACTCTTTTATTACCTAATAATTAAGTCACCCTCTTTTTTTTTTATACAAGTAAATTTGTACTTTGGATATAGTTTATCAGATGCTATTAATGAACCACTATTAAGACTACAAGGATGCAGTACACAGGGTCCTGATTACAGGAATTAAAATAGTGTGTATTGGCTCTCTGCTGCTCCCCAGCAGGAATGCTCACTCATAATTCCTTTGCATCTAGTCTCAGCAGGAGAAGATTGACAGCATTGAAGACCATGTCAACAGTGCTGCTGTGAATGTTGAAGAGGGAACCAAATACTTGGGGAAGGTAAGATTCTGCTCCTGCTGACAAATCAATGTTACTCTGGCTCCCAGGAATTTGTAGTATTAACCCAATTGATCTGCTCTCTTTAATCTTGAGGGAACCAGCAATTAAGGAAATAAGGAAGAAATGACACATAGGTAGTGCAAGAAATCAATGGCTGTAGTAATATTCTACTCTAAGATTCATTCTGTAGGGAGAGAAATTTTTTCAGAGAGAATAAACTGCAGCCCCATCACAATAAGGCATTTGGTGTTAGAAGGGAATATTGCAGAAGTTCAAGGGAGGAGAAAGGCTTGCCAGAACCCAGTAGGGGCAAAAATCTAAGGATGTGGCAGCATGTGTGAAGTGGGCCCATCTGTTTTCTATAGACTATTGCTTTTAACCCCAGGTACAGAGCAGGGAATAATCTGTGCAACATAAAAGCTTTGGGGGCGTCAGTGACTGCTAAAACTTAAACCAGCTAGGTAGTTAGTGGTTTGATTGTTTTGCAAGTAAAATTTATTTGTAGCAGTCCATTTTTTTGTAGCCCATTTCTCTAAATTCTGAAATCTGGAGCAATTGTAGTACCTGTGGAATCCTTTCTCTGCCCCCTCCCCACAGTGCATTCTCTAAGGTTAATTATGTACCAGGAGTTAAAGAGGCATTGCCAGGAGTAATGAGAGGAAAATGCACATCACCACAGGCAGATACTCTCAACTCAGTTTCTAAATTGAATTTTTTTTTTACAGGCTGCAAAATACAAGCTGGCAGTTCTGCCTGTGGCAGGTGCACTCATCGGAGGAGCGGTGGGGGGTCCGATTGGCCTCCTTGCAGGCTTCAAAGTGGCAGGAATTGCAGCTGCACTTGGTGGTGGGGTGTTGGGCTTCACAGGTGGAAAATTGATACAAAGAAGGAAACAGAAAATGATGGAGAAGCTCACTTCCAGCTGTCCAGATCTTCACAGCCAAACTGACAAAAAATGCAGTTAAGAACCAAACTTCAGTATTATTGGTGCCAACATGTCTATCCTAATGGACCTTTGCTGCTGTTGGACACTCAGCTTTTGAAACCTGATTATATCAAGATAGTGGCTGTAGATGCTCAAGTGGGATTGAGCTCAGATTAGTGGGTGTGTTTCTGTTTGCTGGGATGTTAGTGGAGTGAAGGGGTCTGGGCTGAGGGTGTATAATGCTTGTCAGGTAAAATGTGAAGACTGCCAGGGAGCAGATTCTCTTCCTGGAGATGTAAGAACTGAACCCATAACTCTGATAAGGACACGCGATGTGTGGACATGTTGGGTTTTTTCATAACCCTGATTTAGACCCTAAGGCTAAGCATATTATAAATATGCTTTTTATCTTCTAAACATAGGAGATTATTTAGGCCTGTTAGTAAAGAAACGGATGGGCATGCAGGAGCTTTTCTTTTCAAATAGCAAACTCTGGGTCTGGCAAGGGCACAGGGGCAGTACACGGCAGAGTCCACTGGGTGAGCATATTGCAGTTTGGTCCAGCTATATTTTCTGATGAAGGAAACTAATCGTGAAAGAAAGGCCCAGCTTCTCTTTCAAATATCTTAATTTGTGACATGCTCCTTTGAACTCTTCCCTCTGCCTCTTTTTAAATAAAGACGAAATCTCAAGTGGCAGGAGACAGTATTAATTACTAAGCCAGCACTAAGCTTGCTTTGTCAGCTTGTCCCTTCACCTGAGAGCTAGTGCCCTCTGCCTGCCTTCCCTGTACTCTTCAGAACTTCTTTAACTTGTGGGGTGAATTCTACCCATTGTAATGAGGGCTTTTCTCATAATCTGCTTTTTTATTGTCTGCCATCTGTATTCATCCTTTCCTATAATCTCTAGGTAAGAGGGAGAGGGAAAAAGAGAGAGGTCTCCAAATATTTCCAACATTGTTAGAGTTTGAGCTAAAAAATAAGCAGGCGGGGAATATGCCACATCACTTCTTAGGGCATCATCCGATTTCAAGGGGCTGACGTCCCTGCCACACAGGGAGTTTCTAATACTAGGTCTTCCCAGCCAGCCCTTGGTGACGCAAGGAACCAGCTTTCTACCTCACATCTTACTACCACCCTTTCCCCAGGCTTTGCTCTCTCTGTGCTTTACTTCACTTTTCACAGCTGCCATTTCTTCACAAGAATGGCATCCTGCTTGCCTTTTCTCACATCCAAGGTGATGCTGGACAGAGCCTGGTGCCAACATTCAGTCCTGATGAAGGATTTGTGGTGCTAATCTCAACACTTGGCATTGACTGCAAGCATGGCCCAGCCCAACCCAGTGTCTGTATCAAAAAGCAAAAAGCTTTCAAATTTAGAAAGAAAGAATTGAAGATTATAGGCAGCCTCATCATTTGAAATAAGAAAGAACCACCTTTTGCCTTATTCTTTACTCGTCTCTGAGGACAGAGGAATGGGTACCAACACCACAAGATGGGAGCTTTCTCTGCTCAGAAGCCAGAGTCATCAGGCAGTTGAATGGTTTATCACTTCTCTCCTACTGGGCTTACTCTTAATAACTTTTATTGATTGCTACCTTTTATTTCTTTGTCTAATCTAAAGAGACCTTTCTCCTTCATACTTTCTGACTCTCACCAATAAATTCCAAAGACAGAAAGCACCATTTCTTATTGTCATTAAATAACTAGAAAATATCAAGTACTGTATTGTTACCTGTTGACTTGTATCTTTAATATAATACCAAGAAGAAAGTACTTTGAATAAGTGTCAGATTCTGATCCAGTATTTAATATCTATACCTGTAAGGCTGGGATAATTACTTTTGAACTCCACCTTTTAAAATTTTCTGATCCTTGTTGCTTTAACAGAGGGTGTTCAAACCAGAACAAGGATCAGAATTACTTGGACAAAATCAGAATATTAAGACAAAAGTCTTAAACTTTAATCCCACAGGTGATTCTAAATTAGGTCAATCTGGCCTGGGCAGCTAAAATTATAAATTTAAGATATAGTTACATCAAAATTTAACTGTATCATTGAATTCTGTAATTTCTAATATTCTGCCCTTCAACATTGCCCAATCTTCATCACTGCATATTATTCCCATTCTGCCAACCCAAAATTGTCTATGCTTTTAAGGACAGCTAGGGACTCATTATACTGTCAGGCTGATTTTATATCAGGACCCAAAGGAGAGAGGAGGCCCATAATTGGAGCTCACATTTTGTTTTGGGCTCTCTGATTTTCACCGAGCCGGTGTGAGGCAGCATTGTGTGTGCTCACAAAGGCCTCTGAGTTTTACTGCTCATCAGGATTGCAATATTACTCTAGCACACTTCATGATTAGGCAACTTACGATCCTTTTATTATTATTAATCCTCACCAGAGGATATTTTTCTATTGATTTTTTTTTTTTTTAAGAGAGAGTGGAAGGGAGGGAGGGGTAGAGAGAGAGAGAGAAACATTGATGTGAGAGAGACACATCAATTGGCTGCCTCCTGCACAACCCTGACCAGAGCTGGGGATTGAACCTGCAACCCAGGTACATGCCCTTTACCAGGGAACTGAACCCAAGACCCTTTGGTCTATGGGCTGACACTCCAGTCACTGAGCCAAACCGGCCAAGGCAGTTACAATCCTTTTTAAAAGTTTTATTTAAAATTATTTAGAAATTGGATCCAATTTTCCCATAGTAGAACCTAAGGGTCAACTTTTTGTAGAAATTTCTAGAAATGTTTAATCAACTATAAATGATATACATATAAAGTGTAGTGTTTAGAAGTATGTATTAGTCAATACAACACAGAAACTAATCTTAAAATTGAATTTAATACCCAACAGTATCAGATCAAATTCATCTTCTCTGTGATTCATGTCTTATTTTTACTACAATAAGTAAAAAGGTAAGTAACATTTTAAGCACTGATTAAGTTCTTCAAATTTATAGAGGCTTATTTGGATAAAGGCAGCACTCCTAAAGACTTTTTTCATAAAATAATCTGATAATTTCTTTGCAGAGCAGAGACCAAAAATTTTTGGTCGTAACCCATAGTAAAAAATACACTTATATCAAAACTTAGCATATGTATATTGGAACAATTCTTACCATTATGTGTAGTGCACTCTGATTTTTTTTATTGTTTCAGTTTCTAAAATATGCTGGTTGCAACATACTCAAGTAATTTCATAATCTACCAATTGGTTGAGACCCTTAGTTTGAAAAACAAACAAACAAAAATCCATCATGGCCCTAGCCAGTTTGGCTCAGCGGTTAGAGCGTCGGCCTGCGGTCTGGAGAGACCCGGGTTCGGTTCCCGCTAAGGGCACGTACTTCGGTTGCAGTTTGTCCCCGGCCCTGGTTGGTCGTGCGGGTGGCGGCCACGCGATGTGTCCCTTCACGTCAATGTTTCTGTCTCTCTCTCCCTTCCTCTCTCTCCCTCCCACTCTATCTGTACAAAAAATGGAAAAATATCCTCGGGTGAGGATAAAAAAAAAATCCACCATGCTTACAGGGGAGCTAATATTCATTGAATATCTTCTCTTTGCCAGGCATTTCACTAGGCATTTTACAGGTAGGGAAACTGAGTCTCAGAGAAGTTAAATAATTTGCAGAGGGTAATTCAACTACAAGTGGGAGAAGCCAGGATGTTAACTAGGTCTGTTGGACTACAAAAACTATTAATCTCATACTGTGCTACTTATATAAAAATTGAGTTGGGTCCTTCATTCTGATTCACCCAAACTCACATCTATTCTGTAAGTCAAGCTTACTTTGAAATTACATGTGCCATTCATTTGCACTTTTAAAAAAATCTTCTTTCCTCAAAGCAGCCTCAAAGTTTTTAACATTGGCCAACACAGAAGTACATAGTGCTGAGTTTGGTCCTCAGACTCTAATATTAAAAGTGTAGCCCTGGCCAGTTTTGCTCAGTGGTTAGAGCATCAGCCCACAGACCGAAGGGTCGTGGGTTCGATTTCTGGTCAAGGGCACATACCTGGGTTGCAGGTTTGATCCCCAACCCTGGTTTGGGTCATGTGGAAGGCAACCAATCGATGTGCCTCTCTCACATGGATATTTGTTTCTCTCTCCCCATCTCTCCCCTCCACTCTATCTAAAAAAAAAAAAAAAATTAATGGAAAAATATCCTCGGGTGAGAATTAACAAAAACACAACCAAAGATTAAGTGTTTCTAGCCCACCCACACATATTTGTGGGTTATAACCATCACTTAAGCAATGATTTTTTATATCTAATTTAAAAATTAATGGTTTTAAGACAAATCTATCATAACTCTTAGAATCAAATGATTATGCTTTATTTTTTTAATTTTTTATTTATTAATTTTTTGATGAATATGCTTTAAAATGGTACCCTTAGGAAGCCATGCACTCTGTCGTGACACTAGTATTAAAATATTTTTGAAATTGTTCTTTTGTAATTGCCTCCAAAGACATTTTGCAAATCACACGAAAAAGCCATCTCAGTCTTTATTAGTCACAGACCATAATCCCTTGTCCTATGACCTCTCCTGTCTTCCTTCCTTAATTTTGATCATTTTCTGCCAGCTTAGCTCTCCTACCCACCTGTGCTGGAGCCAGTAACCTAAGGATGCCCAGAAAGGCGATGTGCTGGCCAAAGCTGCTGGAGCAAGGGGTTCGTTTTAGGTTATACTGAAACTGAGTACTGTAAAGGGAGAGAACCACAGGTCCCTAAACCCTCCTCTGGGCTGTCTGCCTGCTCGTAAGTGCTGTAAGTAGTTGGCACAGGAGTAAGAACTGCAGACTGGTATCATCGATCACGAGACGTTGAAGAGGCCTGGAAAACAAATACATAATATACAGCTCTTTCCTCCAGTGAAAGTATAGAAACCAAACCACACCATACTTCTTAAAACCCCTTTGCCCTTCATTGCTGCCATATGAAATCTTTGAGAGGAAGGATGAAGACAAGCTTGGGAAAAGGGCTGCCCTGCAAAACAGCACGTTTCCTTCTCACAATAAAGTACAGTGTGGCCGTGGCCCTCGGGTACTTAGGAAGGTTAGACAATGTTCTTGAGTAGTTAGAGGCCAAGTAAAGGCAGGGATGCTTCCCTGCTGGCCTAAGTTAATGCACACAGTTCAGGTTCTGTTGGTGCTTTTTTTTTTTTTTTTTTAATCCTCACCCGAAAATATTTTTCTATATATGTTTAGATAGAGTGGGAGGGAGGGAGAGAGGAAAAGAGAGAGAAATACTGATGTGAGGGAGACACATTGACTGGTTGCCTCCTGCACCACCCCAACCAGGGCTGGGGATGAACTACAACCAAGGTATGTGCCCTTGACCAGAATCGAACCCGCAACTCATTGGTCTGTAGGCCGATGCTCTAACCACTGAGCAAAAACTGGCCCAGGCTGTTTGTGCTTTTTAATAAACTTTATTTTGTTTCTAACGTGGTTCTCACTATTCGTTAATTTGACACTATTTTACAGAGAGACTTCTTGGGTATTATAAACACTCAATGGTAAAAGATCCATATATTATTATCCACATCGCTGCCCTCAAAGAAATCATTTACTGTAGGAGACAAGAAATACATCTGTGCAATATTAACAAAGGAAATAAATTGAAGGAAAAGTATAAAAGGTATCAAAGGCAAATGATTTGCCTGAGATCAAAGCTGGTTAGCATAGAAACTAGAATTATAACAGTGGTCTGAGAAAAAAAATTCAAAGTAATTTAACTGAATTTTTGCTATGCCATATCAGGTTGACTGCTGAGGCTTGTGGTCTTTCAAATCCATTTTAATGTTCTAAATCAAGCAATGGGAGAGGAGAAAGAGCACTGGATGGGAGTCGGGAGGTCAGAGTTCTGGTTTTGGCTTTGTCTCCTGCAGTAAGCCTTTTCCCAGGTGGCTGCCTTCTCCTCTAGCCGGGGTTCCCCAACCGTACATTTTAGTGCTTGCCAGCGCAACACCTCCATTCTTTTTTTAATCCTCATCTAAGGATATTTTTCCATTTATCTTCAGATAAAGTGGGAGGAAGGGGAGGGAGGGAGGCAAGATAGAAAGAGAGAGAGAAAGAAAAACATTGATGTGAGTGAGGTACATTGGCTGCCTCCTGCAGGCCCTGGGGATTGAACTGCCCTTGACCGGAATCGAACCCACTACTCTTTGGTCCACAGGTGACGCTCTAACCACTGAGCCAAACCAGCCAGAGCGACCCTCTATATATCTAGCCTCTCACTGGGCTGTTAGTTGCATCAACTTCTAAATATATCCATGGCCATCCTCTAGTAAAAGACTGTTCCTCACACTCTACCTCATCTCCCCCCGTGAAGCCTTCTCACATCACCGCCACAAGGACGAGAGCCAGGTCTGCCTTTCGTTTTCCTACTGAAATACTTTCAGTGGCTTCCACTGAAGACCTGACAAAGAGGAAGTCCCTTAGGTCGGCATTCATAGCCTTCATATTCTGGCCCCAGCTCTCTTCAGACTCACTACTCGTCATCTGATGCCACTGAAGGTCAGACATTCCTCAGGGACGTTTTAAGGTTTCTCTGTGGTCAAGGACAAGCTGTTAATGTGCTGTGTTTACGTTTTTCCAGATTCAAATGACTTCTGTAAATGATATTTTATCAAAAAAAGTCAGCTGAGATTTGTTTGAGCTCCGAACAAGT